ATGAAACCTTAGAAAAGCCAACGTCTAATCTTTTCTCACCTGAAAGAAGAGTACATCATTAGTATTTTTAGGTTTTGAGAATCGAATGAGTCAATACCTGTGTTAAAAGCATTTTGTAAATGACAAATTACTTTAGAAGCAGTGGGTAGATTAGGTATTTAAAAATCTAATAGTAGAAGGAGGAAAAATAGGACAGTTTTTACAGGAGATACCAGNAACCTTCCTGAACTGTTTGGGTACTTCAACCCTGTACAATAGGTGTTTGTTAGCAACAGAGCTAATAACCCTTCTCTTTAACCATACACGGTAGACAAATATAATCAACACCTAACTGACGTATGTAAACATTGCACATTACAGTGAATAAATTGGTATATTAGTGCATTTTAATGACAGTTAAGATACTATTTTGACACTTTATTGAATTATTTGATCTTCCATCCTATAATGATAGATCAACCAAACCTACTGGTTAAATACTCTATTAACATAAGCAAATCTTGGAAAGGTAGGATAAGATCCCAGAAAGNTTAACCCTTGACTTGGTGTTGTCAGCACCACGCTCTCCCAAGTGAGTCACGGGCAGGCCCCGGTATATTATTTTAAAACGTGTTGATTTTTCCCTCTTAAATTGTTTCAGTTTAAATCATCTTATTTACCATCATTTCTCTTGTATATTGGTCAAGATGAGCAATATCAGAGATGTTAAGTCACAGCCAAAAAGAACAGAAGAGAGAAACTCTGGTGTTGAGTCCAACTGAATCCTGCTACCTATTAGTTGAGGAGGCTTGAGCCAACCACTTGACTACTTGGAACCTCAGTTGCCTCATCTGTAAAAACTGGGCTCAGCTGAGAACTTACAATCAAAACCCCAACGAGATATTTTCCAGAATTCTCCCCACGCCAGCGCCTATCTTCCCCTTCAGCCCTCAGATCAGATACCAAGTCGTTGCCACTCACACCAACCGCCGTCTGTGTCCCTCACAATGACACCGCCGAGGCCCCGCCTCCAGCCCGCCCACCTCCCTGAGGAGGCCCCG